AAAAAAAAAAAGATTTTCCTCCTGCTGGTGGATAAGGAACTAGAATTTTAATCTTTTTTTTTCTTCTTAATGCAAGAGGAGCTAGAAAGGATTATTCTAGTCACTAGAGGGCAGTGAAATGTATTATACAAAGTGAGTTAAAACTATTTAACATTTGTACCATTACTCCAGTGTGTGACTGGTGGGAAGAAAAGACCAAAGTCTATAAGGCTGCTGTTTCCGTGAACCTCAGATTGGCAGCATGTGCAGGCCAAGATCCACGGAAAGAAGACTTAATGGTGAATCAGTAGACACGCTGAAAATTTGTTATAACTTCCAAACAAAATAGGGAACTTGAGGCACAATATATGGACTGGAAACGAAGACTGCTTGTTCCTACAGAATTCACTCCCTGGGACTTACATCAGTCTTACTGTCTTATTTTATAAACAAGCAAGGAAACAGACATTCTGTGTGACTTGTTAACATGCAGTGCACCTGAGCTCAAAACTTGGGGCTACTTGGCTTTTTCCATCACCCTTGTGGGCCCAAAGGAAAATTTCCCCTCTACCCTCTGAATGCTAGCTAGAAACTTAACTGACAAAAAGCAAATTAATTGGAGAAAAAGCATACAAGTTTATTAATGTACATATGGGACAACCATAGTTATTACCCCAAACCCCCTAATGGGGTTTAGAAGCTTTTATACTATCTTGAGACTTCACAAAGAATGAGGGCTTGAATTAAGATTACAAAAGTGATCAAGATGAGACCTCCCTGGTAAAGGTGATCTTGTTATATAAGTGAAACGTCCCTGCTAGCAGCCCTGAGGAGAATACAGGGTAAATGTTTCCCTCAGACCTTTAAAGGTGTCAGACTCTCAGCCTTAACCTAGATCTGAAATGCAAATTCTCTACAGATGGAAATCTCCCCCACAAAAAAAACAGTTTGCAGGGCTAATTTTTGTTTTCTGACTCTGAACGCTCTCTCAAAATATGTCAAGGAGGGCACCACCTGTGGCTCAGTAGGTAGGGCGCTGGCCCCACATATCGAGGGTGGCGAATTAGAACCCAGCCCCAGCCAAACTGCAACAAAAAATAGCTGGGCATTGTGGCGGGCGCCTGTAGTCCCAGCTGCTCGGGGATGCTGAGGCAAGAGAATCGCTTAAGCCCAGAAGTTGGAGGTTGCTGTAAGCTGTGGCACTACGGCACTCTACTGAGTTCAAGAAAGTGAGACTGTCTCTAATTCCCATTAGTAGAACAATGTCAGTTTCTATAATAGCATCTTCTTATATAGCATTAACATAATTGGAATCATTCTATAGAGTTTTTTTGTCATCAGAAAGTTCTATATCTTCTCTGCTCAAGTTGTAGGATTTTCCTGTATACAATTAGTTGATGGCTTCCACTCATGCACATCATCTCCACTTTTTCTAGTTTGACCACTATGCATAGTTATGTGTGGGCCAGGTACAGTGGCTCATGCCTATAATTCCAGCACTCTGGGAGGTGAGGTAGGTGGATTGCTTAAGGTCAGGAATTCAAAACCAACCTGAGTGACAGCAAGACCGTTCTCCACTAAAAATA